TATATTTATTTAAAGCGTACTTCGTATACTAGTATTTAATTTTAAGTTTGTGAATATACATATCACAAATAATGCATTTCAATTTATTCGTGAAATTATGCATCACCTCTTCGTAGATCTATGTGCCACTTCTTCGTGGATTTACGTGTCACTTCTTCGTGAATCTACATGTTACATATCGTGAATTTACGTATCATCACTCCGAAAATTTACGCGTCATCTTCAGTGAATTTATGTGTCAATCCCGTGCCAAAATCCGTGAATTTTGGCTTAGTAAACTGCTGCAAAATCTGGTCTATTTTCGGTCCAAAATACACGAACAAACGGTTCAAAACAGACCAGTAAATCCATGCCTATTCGGAAGAAACACGTGCAAACCCAGTTCCTAAACCGTGCCATAACCTACTGTGCTTTTACATGTGTTTCCCATGCCTTTACGGACCACTTTTTTTATAGAGTGGGAATTATGACGATCCCGTAAATGTTAAGAATTACAAGAATTCTTGATTTCTGGGATTTTTAGAATTTTCAGGATTCTTAGGATTTTTCACAACGCCAAGAACCATGTAAAAGATACTTGTATTTATTTTTCTTTTGTTGATATTGTGTAATATTAAGATATGAGATCAATAGCTTTTTTCTCTGGAAGCATCGAGACATTCAATAATTATAGTTTTTTAAAAAAAAAATTAAAAAAAAAACTGGAATGCATAAATAGAATTTAATTTTATTAATAGTGATGGGAAAAATGCGCATGAATGCGCATTAATGCGCATTAATGCGCACTAAATGTTTCATGCGCATGATATTGCATGATAAAAAAAAAGAAAAAACGATTGAGAAAAGAGAGATCTTGATGGGATAAAATGCGCATGAAACCCATCTCTATTTATTAATAAATAATTTTAAATTTTAAATAATAATTGATATTGTGTTAGAAAATTAAATGTTCAATATTGATATTGATATCGAATTTGAAAAGCGTAATACTTACTAAATTTTTTTCTTTACTTATTTTTATTTATTTATTTATTTATTTTGTTTAATTATTATTCAAAGTTTTTTTTCTTATTCATTTTTTTATTTTTTTATTTTTATTTTTTTTTGTTTATGAAGGTTTATTGCAAATACTCTTAAATAGATAATAGATAATGGTAACCAATCCTATAACCAAGCACAAGTTAGACAACCATCTGTTATACTCGAAAACGATACACCAATTTTACTCTAAAGATCCTATTTATTAAATCATAATAGCCCAATTTGATTTTTTGGACCCTTTTTAACTAAATTTTTACGCAGAAGTCTTAATCTTAATACAGTAATTAGCATTGAAAAGTCAACACATTACAATCGATTAAAAGAGCTTTTTTAGTACATATACGAGATAAAAAAACAAATAAAAATAAACAGTTGTGCTAAGCTGTAGAAATAAGTGCTATCACTAGTTGTTAAGATGTTCGGGTGATTGGTTTGTCATTAAGCCATTGGTTTGGTAATATGCAAGGGTGAATTCGGAAGCAAATTTTTAAGAAATCGTCCTTTTAAACTTGCTTTTAACCTATAATAAAATACGTAGATAACATCATTTTCGATATATTTAATTATAAGTCCAATGTAAGTTAAAATAGTCGTTCTTCTGTAAATTGGCTTTGTTAAGCAAAATTTTGTTCGGTTATCTTGAAGCTAATTTTGGGTCTAATTAAATCGGCTCATATGTTTATTATGTCACATTATGTAAAATACATTATCGTCATTTTGCAGAATTTATTTATTAAATAAAACACTTTAATTCTTACATGTGAGTTTATTTTTATTTTAAATATTGATATTGATTTTAAAAGTAGAATGCATTTATGTTCCAAATACAATGGTTTGTAGGTTTCGTCAACGTTATAGGTATTGTCAATCGTCAATTAGAAGTTACCTGACGAAATGGTTTTGTCATTCGTCAATGGCGACGGTCTTGTCATTTGTCAAGCATAGTTAATGAGGACCCAACATAAAACTATTGAAGAGATGTTGAGAAAAAGAATTAGTAAACCGTCCATCAGCAATAAAAGTCTGAAATTATTACCAATTATTACAAAGTGTCAAAACGATGAAAATATTTTATTAGAATTAACTAAATCGGATGAAATAAAAGTATACAACCATAAAAACATGCCGATTAGCGATGCCAACATAATTAATTTAATAAATAAATAAAAATAATTTATTTATGGTAATTGCTAAAATTACAAGATCCTAATTAAATTTTGCATTATAAATTCAAAATTATGTAAAGCTAGGATGCCATAATAAAAGTTTAATTAATTTTGTTTAAAAGTTTTAACTAACTAACTTTGTTATTGTTTTGAATTCGAATATAATAAATCTATCTTAAACTTGTTTTTTTAACATTATCGAAGAAATAAATTTATATTCAAATGCATAATAGCAAGCTGACACATATTCTGAAGAAAATATACAGAAAATAAAAACAGAACAGCAAGACCAACTTATTAATCGTAAGCGCAAAAATGTTGGTAAGAGAACAAATTTTGGAGTATTAGAAAACCAGTAGAAATACTGGTTCTTGTAGTGCATTTTGTTATCATTGCCCAAATGTCTTGGAGTTGTGGACGTACTGGTGAAATGGAAGCTCATCTTGCTAATATTTGTCCTGGAGTTCCTAATACTATTTAAGAATATTGGCAAGAATCTCTCTCTAAGAAAGTCGTTAATTCCAAAAGAACAAAACGTTCTAAATTTTCTTTTTGATTTTAAAACGTTCTAAATTAGATTAATTGAATATAGCATTTATAATATGAGTGGCGTCAAGGGAAAATCTGAATCCGGAAAGTACAGGTTACTATCATCACGATGAATCATTAATGATTTAATAACCCGTACTTTCCGGATTCAGGTTTTCCCTTGGCAGAACTCATATATAATTTTATATAACACTTATAATATTAGTAGCATAAGGTAATACTGAATTGCTACACATATGTAACTGTACAGTACATTAGCTCTGTTAGCCGTTTGGTATAATTTATACTTTAACTTTGTAATACAAAAATTAATTATCGTTTTTTGCATAATTTTAGAAGTTTAAATTGCTAAAACAAATGAATTTTTTAAATCACCAGATTAATTTAATTAGCCAATGCCGATGACATTTATAAAAGTAAATTTAGTAATTATACATACTACATCAAATTTCTCAAGGTTGTCAAGATAAGCATATTTATTATTTTTAATAAATTTATGTCTAATGCTATATTAGGCCATACAAAAAAAATTTCTTTGGTTTACATAACCCGCACGGGTAGTGATGGGCATGCACGTGATTTTGGATCCCGCACGGGATTTTTAATATGATCCCCAATTCAGGCCAGCCGGCCCGCATTAACATAATTTTAAGAAACCCATAATGTAATCCTATCACGCGCATCACGCAAATCACGCGCGGATCACGCGCGTAACCCGCATCCCGCGCGGGATATTTTGGAAAACCGTTATTTTCCCATCACTACGCACGGGTCAAAATTTGAAGTTTTTTTTTATATGTTATAATAACCCGGTGAGTTTTTATTAAATAAAATTTTATACAATTTTTATATATAAAATTTTTATACAATTTTTATATATAAAATTTTTTTAAAAAAAGCCGGGTTGCCAGTGTTAGCCGAAGAAGTCACGTGGCACGTGACTTCGGTAAATCCAAATTAAGGTTACCCGGGGAACATCGGCAACATTGGCTACTTCGGTCACGGGGGCGATAAAGACCAGGAGGGATATGTAAGGGATATAAGCGTTAAGGAGAATAGGAATAATATAGGCATTATAATTCATATAGACCACATAGAGAATAATGGCAATATAGTCTCCGAGATGTAAATAAGTAAAATATACTATAAATAAAGGCCGTAAAGGCCCTAGAGGAAAGATACCTCCTAATTCTGCTTTATAGAAAATAATCGCTTAACTCCTTACATATAATAATTGTTCATCAATAAATAATAAATTCGTTAAACTACCTAACTCCAGTTTGTTACTAAGTGGCATAGTGATAAACTTTGTCTCTCTCTCTAAATCCTGTTCACGTGACTCCTCGCTAAATTTGATACCCCGTCCAGTTGTTATCCTAACGTACCTGGTACAACTGTGGTTGATTTGTCCAGCTTACCCGAAGTAGTGTGGTATAGCTGAAGTTAAAGAAAGACTAGATATTACCCGGATAATAGAAAGACCCACCTACGGAACCAACCAACTCGCCAAACCTAACACGCCTCTTTCCAGTAAAGCCTACCGTAGGTTACGCGAAGTATTTGGAATATCAAGCGACAGACTCGCCGCTGTACCCGGTCTCAATAGTTTACAAGCTCTTATTATATTCGGTTCATAGCATTCTGACTAATTTTCGCCCATATGACTAATTCTATACCGGTAATTCGCATAATTTTGCCGGATCATAACGATAAGTGATTGAATCGGTAGTTCTAATTCCCGTAGCGGAGCCATGGGTGTAATATTCCTAAAAAAATAAACCAAGTTATCATTATAAAAATAAAAATTATCACACAGGTTACAACTGGTTGCCAATTATTTATTCGGTTCGGTTAACCGATTAGCTTTTTTTTACTCGGTTCAAATCACTACCTCGAAGGTCACGTCCACGTGATATGCATTTTTGCTTCATTATTAGAAAAAAATAAGATATAGACATTATGTTCATATAATCAAGAATTTTTATTGATCGAAACTTTGACGGCAGGTAAAAAATTTTGTATTTTTAATTTATTATCGCATATTTTTATAAAATTTCAAATTAAACCAATTCATCTCCTTCAGACAACCTCCTCCTTTTTCTTTTATCCTTCTTTTTAATTTTTATTTTAACCACACCATTATCATGAACTTCTTATTAATACGTGCAGTCACATCAATACTATTTTTAAAAAAAAATTAAATGAATAAATCAATAATATTTATATTTTATACTCATTAAAAAAAATAAGCAAATTACATACAGGTCCGGAAGGTCGACATAGTAACAGAATCTTCCTTTTATATTTTCTTTTATAACCATTTCCTCGTTAACTTGATTAAATTGATTGAATTGTCCAAGAATGAAAATGCGTTTGTCATCATCCCCTACTTCAACATAAAATTCGGTTTTTAATTTTATTGTTGGAAGAGATAAGGTGACAAAAAAAATATTCACTAGATAAAAAATTAATATTAGTTTACACTTAAAAAAAAGTTTTGTCAAAAAATTTTAATACGTATTTACTTCGAATGACTTATGTTATATAATGTTGCGGGCAAAATCAATGTAGAGACTAATGTTGAGGTTAGTGCAGGGACCAATGTGGGGTCGATGAGGGAACCAATGGTAAGGTTGACGAAGTTAACTAAAAATATATATAATAAATTAAATATAAAAACTTATAAAAAAATTGTCCATTGTAATATTATATATATGGGTACCCATTGATTGAAGAAATTCACTTGCTTTTTTAGGTGTAACAAAGTGGAAGTGTCCCCAACTAAATTTTAATAAAAATAATTAGTAATAATAAAAAATTTATATAAAAGTTATATAGATTTTTTGATACTTTGAATTTAATCTTCGCGAAACATGTAAGATTCCGGCGTCACCGTTTTTACCATATGATTGAGCCCATGTTTTAAGTTCTTGGTCGTTAATATCTGATATCTCAGTAAAGTCAGTTCCAGTAAAAAAAACTGAAAATGAGCTGTTAGCACAACATTCCATAACTAAATATAAAAAAAAAATTTTAGCAATTTTATCGTATCATA